GAACTTCCGAGTGCGTCTAATAAGCGCATCCGCACTCCGGCCGCGTGACGTGGCACCTAGCAACCGAGGTGCTGTGGGAGACAGCGGGGCTAGGCCATACTTAGGCCGCCAACCTGGCGCCAGCGAGGCGGCCTGTACGTGTGGCCCGTGGTGGGTTAATATTTTGTAATGAGCCATCCGCAAAATGTCGCAACAAAGCGACATGAAAAGGGGGGGGGGGGGGGGGGTACTGTCACCAACACTATTGATGATACGACCGCCGTTCCCCACCGGACGGTCCCGAAATCGGTGTTGGGGGATTTCGCTGGCGCTCTTCGGTTGCTATATGTTAAATCATGGCGTCGCTCTCTATAACCAAACAATCCAGTACGGGGCATCCGTTGCTGCGCGTTGCATAGCAAAGCCTCACGAAATATGCACAGCGCCGCCTACTGTCGGCGGTTTCAGAACGTGCTTCCCACCCAGTCTCCACTGTTGCTCCATCACGTGGCAACGTTGCGAACCTTGAATACTTGTGCTCTTTGATTCAAGCCGGGTGGCGGAGAAAACCTCACCGCAAAACCGGATTTTGCGTTAAACGTGGCAATTTAACACAATTCGCATTCATCACTTCATTAAAGACAAATCGTCGTTTTTGTAATATCCTAGAAGTTCATTGCGCATCTTTACTAATTTCTTGGAAATTACCCAAGCGGCACAAGAATATTAGGCGAGTTTCTACACAATATTGTTAACTGTATTAAGGTAACAGTAATACTTTTACCTTAATACAGTTAGGATTCTAGTATAAACGCGGTAAATGCAATAAAGTAACATTTGTATAAATATACACATAAGCACTAACAACGCACTTTCAATAATCACAAACTTGTTATTCACCTTCCAATAAAAACTAGAATATTACAACGCACTTTTACCAATGTACACGCAACAACACGCGGATAACGACGGAGAACAAGATTCCATTCTATCACAAGATTTGAAAAAAAAGAAAAAAATCGACTCCAGCACTTCGCTTACGTCCTACATGGCCATGAAAACCCGCAAATAAGCTGTTTCTCCCCGTCTATCGTATCCATACGTCCCTCTCTATCCGCCACGGAAACATTTGAACACAAACTCCAAGTCATTTTGTCGAGAGAGGGGTCTATCGATGATGACCAGCGTCATCGTTGCCAAGTTGCCACAGATGTCACTCAAACCGTAGCAGGACTTGTTCCGCGAATCCGCGTGAATGGCGTAGCATCAACCGAACAAAAAAAAGAAACTGCCCGGCAAGCACTTGAGGATCTGGTCGTCTCGGAGAAGCCGCTTCGAGTTCCCACGGCGTTGGAAATCATCCTTTCCTCAATATCTCCTCTGTCCGTCGATGTCTCGCTGCCTCCAGGCCGTCCCGTCCAAGGAAAAATCTGCCTCCTGGTGTCCGCACCGTCCCGTACGCCCAGCCCCCGTTCTTCCTTCTTTTTTGTTCCCCTCCGGGATTGTACATTTCCGCCGCAGAAAAGGTGGGGAGAGCTTGAGATATTTCCAGTCGGCAGGGTTGCCAGGTAGTTTCTAGCTGAAACCGCCAAAAGCCAGACGGTGTAGCCGAAAAGTAGCCAAAAGCAAGAAATTTATGTAGCCCAAAAGTAGCCATATTTTGCAGAGCTCAAAAAATTGCGCGCTTGAATGTGCGAGCTCAATTTGAAGGTACTACGTCTGCATATCTAGGGTTTAGGAGCAGATTGCAAGATCTACGACATCTTGAAATGTATTAAACGTTTTATTTGAAACACAAAAGTACAAAAATTTTCCACACGCGTTGTTGCGGTCACATAGTTATGAAGCACACGCTCGTACCCGGCTTACCCGCCTCATACAGGATTCCGTGTTAAAACGGGCAAAAACTTCTTCAGTAGGGTTGATGTCCTTACAGAACTCGTTCTTCCCAAGGAAAGCAAACTTTACACAGAGGACGTTTTGAAGAGTGGGAGGGGACATGTTCTACCTTAGGACCGACTTTGTGAGAGACACGTGACTGAATGCTCTCTCCACGGCGGCATTTCACATGGGCAGTGTCGGGAGCGCGATGGAAAGCTCGGATAGCAACAGAAACAGAACTGCTCCTGCGCACTGATCTTGGCCTTGTTCGGAATATTCATCGTCCCAAATTTGTTGTCTTTATTATGGCTGATTGTGCTTTAAGAAATTTTTATATTTCGCGGAAACGCCTCCTTCGTTATATCTTTTGTACAGCACGTGTTATCGGGCGACATCAAGTTCTGCACGATGTCTTGAGTTGCCTTTAGTATCATTTTTCCTCGGATGATGTGCTTCCTGTAAGAGGATGGTGGGAAGCTCGAGGAAATAAGAGACGCCAGTAAGAAGCAGGAAGAACTTGGGAGCATAAAATAAGCCACAATTACTATAAAAGCGATTCCGTCGGAGCTTAATCTAGGTCACGGTAGCTCATTATCACGCCCACGAATCTTCACACAGAAAATTTCTGAAAGCGGGAATTCCGAAAGTGATGACTGTCGCTTTGTGTCCATGCTGAAGTGTCTTTTGTACAACTACTCTAAACCAAGCAAAAAAAAAAAAAAGGGCCGCTTTAGGATTTGAAATAGCCCGAAAATACCCAGAGAGCCAAGCGCCAAATTTCGACGCCAAATGCATGACAAAGTAGCCCAATTTGGCTATTAATAGCCCAACCTGGCAACCATGCCAGTCGGAGGCTCTGCTGGAATGTCCCTCGCCTGTTTCTTTTTCTGTTTGCTTCGGCAACGTGGTCGTTTTCTTGCTCGTGGTGACGGGGAGGAGGACAGCAGATTGTCACGTCCGAAATGGCGGGGAGGGGAGGGGGGGGGGGGCGCCTTCTCCGAAGCATGTCGCGATTGCCATGAGTCGCCGCTTGTTGCCTCTCGCTTCTTGAAACACGCACACACACACACACACTCGCGCGCGCGCACCTAACCGGATCTTGCGTTAGGCCCGAGCGCCCTGTTTCGATGGAATAACCAAAGACAGTTACGTCACAACTGTTTCTCTCCCTCTCCCTTTTCAAGTTTGCTTTCCAAGGCGCCAGCGAGTCTGGTCACGTGAGGCTGACCTAAAAAGGTTGGGATCACTCTCCTTCTTATTATGCTTCCTCTCTCACTCGTGTCGTCCCGTCTCTCTTATCTCCCCTTCGAAGTTAGCTTTTAGAAGGGAAAAACAAACAAACAATATTCGTCCAGCCGTCGTTACCCGGTTTGCGTCGGTGCAATATTACAGATATTCTGTAGACATCGGCCGTGTCAAAATGGTACCGGCTTTCTTTCAATATCATTTTCGAATCGACCCAAAATGCCTAATACAGCGCAGTTATGGCCGATTCAAAAACGGTATTCAGGGAAAACACGGTTCGTGTACCATACATGCCGTGGTTGCGTCGCCGCAATATAAAAAAAAAAATATTTTGTCGACATCGGCAGAATCAAAATGGTACCGGCACAATTTTCCCGATGCAACGGAAAAATTGGCAATACTCGCACGACTTTCCTGCCCCGAGGCGAACATCGCTCAAATATTGTGTGCTGCCTGGGTAGTAATCTCCCGTTCTGTATATTAATGAAGCCGCAAATATAAAATAAGAACATCGTACACCGGTAAAAAAGACAACAATTTACTGACAACTGACAGTGCGCCGTCGGTAGCTCTGTTAGATAAAAAGGTTCGTTTTTTGCGAGCTAATATGAATAGCGGTGTGAACCGTTTCAGCTCCAAATATTGTGTAGTGCCTAATGTGTAAGCAGGTGTTTGTTGATGTAATCAGTGGCGGCTACACTGTTCTCTTGCTGTTCATTTGACTAACAAACCTTTGGTTTCGAGAACAGCTTCGTCCTGTCGTGTTTACTATGTTGAATATGTCGTCCTGTCCCGTTCTGTTTCTTCTACTTTTGTGTTCTTTTCTACCCCAGTCTCAGGTATATTCAACATGGTTAACATCCACCAGCTCGCCTGCACCCTTACTATTGTATCTCTGTCGTGTTTGTTGTCTTCCCTCCGTCGTCGTCGTTTGAGCGGTTTTCATCATGTATAACGCTTACCAACTCGCCCTATTCGCTACCTTACAGGAGACTACTTCGTATATAGGTCACGAGTAACAACGGTGCCAGTGCGCAGCTCTGAAGGTCACGGGTGGTTCGCTGTAGAAGGGCACTATCACACAAAGGGAACGCGTTGAAACACTAGCACGAACGGCTAGAAAACGTTCATGTCCATGGAAGAAAGAAGCCTCGATATCCTACTGATTGATTTATCCTGTCTTCAAAGGTTAACAAAAGCTTCAAAGCGAATTTTAGGCACAGCGTTGTTGCACATGCACTTTCGAATTGTGGGCATTTACAGTTTTGATTTTTAGGTCATAGGCAGGCATTATTACGGTTTCAAACGTTTTCCTGTTCTTCAAGTTTATAAAGCTTTCAGTTAGGCCACTTCTTTGCAACTTTCAGTTGCCAAGAAAGTAAGTCACAGAAAACACTCGCCCGAAATTATTTATTGGGGAGCTGTATACCCAAAACGTTTAACAAATATTATAGAAAATGACGTTTTCTTTTTTACAAAGCTGACGAATTTTAATGACAATAAATTGATATATGTTACGCATAATCACGCAGCCTGTATATTAAAAGAAGAAGAAATATCCGTGAGCTTTCCTCCGTATACGCTCAATGGCCGCGGAGCTTTTCTCCGCATCCGCCGGTTTGGCGGTGAGCTTTTCTCCGGTGAGCTTATCTCCGGTGAGCTTTTCTCCCTGAGCCTTTTTCCGGGATTCGTCAAAGTCAGCGTAGGCATCAGGGCACTAATGTTAACGCATTAAAATGCTTTGTTTGAGCATCTGTCTGGCAATAGTGCGCACTTCTTAACACGGATTTTCTATCAGACGATCTGCAAAGTCAAGAGCAAAATGGCGGCGCCCGAGGGTGTACTCGCAAACGTCTGCACAAACCAGTAAAGGAACTTGGCCAGGCTGCACCCACCTTGTATTTGGAGATGACGCCGTCGCAGACCCGCGATGTGGAGATGCCCAAGAACTTGCATGCAGTCTTCAGCAAGAAGACCACGGCGTCTTCTGCCCTGTCTCCGTGAATGAACTGCTTGATGAAAGAAGTTGCCAACTTGCATGCTCCGCAGTACGGCAAGAGGTGGCCGGACGGAAGTTCCGTCCCCGCCTCCTGCGATTCGAAGCCGCCGTTTATCCGCGTGTCAAAGGGTTGTTTTTGTTTTGTTCCTTGGAATGTTCGGAACGTGGTGGCTTCTAAAATTAGGTCATACTGAGAACTAAGTACGTTTCCTTGTATATATACGGTGTCGCAAGTCACCAGGCTCAATCTATACTGGATCATAAGAATCGACGCCTACACGAAACAATCTACACTACTCGTCAAAGATATATCTCACGGGATACGACCCATTCGTCACATGTCGATTCGTCATAGGGCAACTGGTAACAGGCCCGTTCGTCACAGCGGAACATTGGTCATAGGATGATTCGTCACGCTGGCAGTTCGCCACACAATGACTTCAAGATTCTTAAACTTTTTTTATGTTGTTTTCTTAGGAAAGTTACGAAAGCGGGTCACTTAATTAAATCCGTACAGGGTCAGTGAGGTTGACTACTGTACGAACGAACGGGTAACAAAAGCATGTCCCAATGACCCCGAGATAAGGCAACATGCAGCCTTTAGCCTGCACGTGTGCTCTAGTGGTCACCAGAGTCGCTACAATACAGATGACGAGTTTGCTGTTCTGGTATGCGGCATTCTATTTATATGTATTATTGTTGTCTTCAGTTCAGCCAATTGGTTACTTTATTTCTTGTGGATTTTCAAATGGGAACGCATCCAGCATTGGCCTTCTAATCACCGACATTCCCGAGGGCTTCAAGGACCTTCTTGAGGTTTTCCCCACCGATGCCTCACTCGTGGTGGACTGCTTCGAGGACGTGTATATCGGAAGACCCCGTCGAAACGGCTTGTCGTCGGCCACCTTCCCTCCCCTGGTTTGGTCAGTCAGAGAATCAACACTAGCAGAAATGCCACGGACAAACAACAGCATCGAAGCCTGGTTCCGGGGACTGCGCGTAAGAACTGACCTAATACTCTGAGAACTTGGACGTTTTCTGTAGTACATTTTTGCATTTGTGGCTCAAAATTTCAGTACGGTGTCCAATCAAAAAGCTTTCTCCACGAGTGCGTGTTATTTTTTTCTTTTTATCCTTGACAGAGATGAAGCTGGCTCAACCAGAGGGCGGCACGACACCTTCGAGGGTGTCCATGAAGCACGCCGAATGCAACCGGCGTCTTCAAATCATTGTGAGCCGCTACAATCGTCTCAATCGTCTTGAAAACCTGAAGGTGGCAGCTTGGAATATCACTTTTTAATTTGTTTTTATTTCGCTCAATAAACCTGTTGTTTTCTAGGTTAAACGATGACTTGTTTGGATGTTCCCTCTCTTTAGTAAAATGAAATATACCGCACTAACTTTTATTGCATGCACAGCCAGATGAATATATTTGGGCAAATTCAAATATCCGGTTCGCACAGTGAGAAACGTTCCTAGGGACAAATACCCCTATGACGAATGTTCTGCTGTGACAAACGGGCCTCTTACCAGTTGGCCTATGACGAATGCGCACATGACAAACGGGCCTACACCCAATGATATCCACGGTCACCCTGAGACGTAGGAAAATAATAATAATAATAAAAAAAAACGGACAGAACAACGAAGTCTCTAACACAGCTTGATATTTATTTAACAACTATCGTCGTATATACCATGTCACAAAACTCCATCACAATTCAAAAGACCTCCTCACCCACGACACATGTACCCTCACACTCAACCTATACCGACAAACGCACACAAAAGCAAACACGCCCGAAACACAAAGGGACTCTAACTCGAAAAGGAAATGCAAGACCTTCCGAACTTGGCCAAGGTCAGACTGAACCCAACAACACTTACGAACTCTTTTGTTTCCTTATCAAGAGATGAACAAGGTTGTCCTAAAAAGAAACCACAAAAAGCCACGCCCAAAGGAAGAGAAGAACACGAAGCGCGAAGCAACTGACCCATCACTTGACAAAAAAAAAAGTATAAACCTAGAAATTGTTTCGTTCGCTTATCAAGGGATAATGAAGGTTGACTGATACAGTTCCCGGAGCTTAAAATATGCAAAGTTTCTCTTAACACTCTCCTATGGCTATCCTCTCTATTTAAGACTTCAATGCCCTCCGACTCTGGTACACAGTTGTCGTACTCGACTGCATGTTTAGCGGTTTCAGAGTTCGGTGAATTATTTTCAACCGCCCGTTTGTGCTCTATTATATGATCGCTTAAACAGCGACCAGTCTGTCCTACGTAGGAATGGTAACCGGACAAAAGCTCACCGGACAAAAGCTCACCGGACAGCAGCTCACCGGACAAAAGCTCACCGGACAAAAGCTCACCCGTTTTTCGACAGACCCGGACAAAAGCTCACCCGGTTTTTGACAGACCCGGGCAAAAGCTCACCTCGATTTCTTTTTTTTTTTTCATACCCGGGCGAAACACGGGCTGAAATAAAAAAAAATGGACATTGGACCATTTTTAGGAGAACTTGTACCTCATCCACCATTGAGTTACGATTTTTTTTTTAAATACTTTGAAAGAACGGGATTTCGGCCTTTTGGAAAAGTACAAGACAGATGACCAATTTAGAAAATTGTGCGGGATTTTAGATAGGCTAGGGTTCTTTCCACCACAGCTTGTTCCACAAGAACTAACCACCAGGGAAAAGTCTACCGGTGACATCGGCTACCTGCTGGACTACTTTGATAGAACGTATGTCAACGGCCGCTTTCTTTATGCTTCTGTTCCATCTGCGGCGGCACCCAGAGCGAATTCTTCCCTTCGCCTGACTCTGCGCCGACGGCGACCGGAGTTTCCCCCGGTACGGTGGAATATGTACGACACCACACTTCAAAATAAAGACCGGATGAACACCTGCGAAAGATAGAGTACCGGGTTCCAGAAGCTCATCGGCCACGCCCATCCAAGCGTCTTGAGGCTGATTGAATACCTACAGCAAAATCAGGCGCTCGTTGCCACGGCATTGACAAAAGCCCGGAGAGGTGAGCCTACAGTAAAGTGGGTGCGAAAAATTACTCTGCACCGGCAGGATCGTCTTAGAAATATTTGCGAGGGCTTGCATGTACATCGAGATCTACCAAGACAGCTGGAGCTAGTGGGGGACTGCATTCGCTTCTAACCAATCGATAAATAAACTTGTGTCTATTAAAATCAACAAACCATGCGCCTGTCAGATTTAATTTATCGTTGCCTTTTTGTGTCGCGCACATGCACCTAAGTTGTCCGCACTCGTGTTAAGACCAACATGTAATTTTCTCGTGGTGAGCTTTTGTCCGGGTCTGCGAAAATATGGGTGAGCTTTTGTCCGGTGAGCTTTTGTCCGGTGAGCTTCTGTCCGGTGAGCTTTTGTCCGGTGAGCTTTTGTCCGGGATTCGTAGGAATAACCGCACCGCAGATAAATATTATATACGACCTCTTCCTGACAAGACACATCGGGATTCCGGTGTTTTTTCGAATCCCGGTGAAAAGCTCACCGGAGAAAAGCTGACCGCAAAAGCGACGGATGCGGAGAAAAGCTCACCACGCCATTGAGCTTATACGGAGAAAAGCTCACCGATTTTTTTTCTTCTTTTTATATGGAGGCTGTTGGATCATGCGTAACATATAACAATTTATTATCATTAAAATTCCTCAGCATTGTAGAAAAGAAAATGTCCTATTTTGTAATATTTGTTTTATCTTATTGGGTATATTGCTCCCAAATTAATAATTGCGGGCGAGTGTTTTTTGTGACATACTCTCTAGGCAACAAAAGCCTAACAGCCGAACTAAAAACTTAATGAACTTGAAGAACAGTAAATGTTCGAACACCTAATAATATCTGCTTAAAACCTAAAAATCGAAACTCTAAATGCCGAAAATCCGAAAGTGCGTGCGCAACATGGCGGTGGCTGAAATTCTCTTTGAAGCTTTTGTTAAACTTTAAGAATAGGATAAAACAGTAAGTAGGATATCGAGGCTTCTTTCTTCCACGGACATGCACGTTTTCTAGCTGTTCGTGGTGATGTTTCCGCACGCCGCCTTTGTGTGATAGTGCCCTTCTACGGTAAGCCACTCATGACCTTCAGAGCTGCACACTGGCACCGTTGTTACTCGTGACCTATATAAGAAGTAGTCTTCCGTAAGGTAGTGGATCGGGCGAGTTGGTAAACGTTATACATGATGAAAACCGCTCAAACGACGACCACGTAGTGGAGACAACAAACTCGACACGTCGAAGCTCTCCTTGCAACTAAAGGTTTGTTAGTCAAATTAACAGAAATAAAACAGCGTAGACGACACTGATTGCATCAACAAACTCCTACTTATCTATAAGGCATTACACAGTATTTGGAGCTGAAACGGTTCGCCACTCTGCTATTCATATTAGCTCGCAAAGAACAAACCTCTTTATCTCAGAGAGCTACCGACTGCGAACTGTCAGCTATCGATAAACTGTTGTCTTTTTTACCGCTGTACGATGTTCTGGTTTTATACTTGCGGCTTCATTACTATACAAAATGGTCGATTACTAATTTCTGAGGAATTAGTAAGTATGCACAATGAACTTCACAAATATTGCAAAAAAGAGTACATATCTTTAATGAAGTGACGAATGTAAAGTGTGTTAAATTGCCACGTTAGCGCAGCATTCGCTAAGTTAAAAAAAAAAGATCTGTGAGCATTTCTCCGCATCCGCTCAAAGGCCGGTGAGCTTTTCTCCGCATCTGCTGGTTTTGCGGTGAGCTTTTCTCCGGTGAGCTTATCTCCAGTAAGCATTTCTCGGGTGAGGTTTTCTCCGCCGCCCGTTTTTTCGTACACCCCAAACCCGCCCCTGAAATAGGCGTCAACCTTTCTAGCTAGTTCTGCGGTTTAAACACACCATTCACAACAAACTTTGACGCCGCAGACCTGACACTGCGCGAGATGGCATGATGAAAGGAACAGACGTCCGATTTTTAACACTGTCATCTCCGGAGGGGCAAAGAAAATCCGGTCCAACACTTTTGACACCACACTTGGTGTGGTGTCAAAAGTGTTGGACCGGATTGTATATCTCACACAATGTAAGGTCTGTGGCGTCAAAGTTTTGTGTGAATGTTGTGTTTAAAGCACAGAACACGCTAGAAAGGTTGACGCCTTTTTCAGGGGCAGGTTTGGGGTGTGCGAAGAAACACCGGGATCCCGCGGTGCCTCGTCAGGACGGGGTCGTATATAATATTCCTCTGCGGTGCGGTTTTTCCTACGTAGGACAGACTGGTCGGTGTTTATACGATCGTATAATAGAGCACCAAAGAAATAAAAACGGCACCGTGCCCGTGGTGAAACAGTGCAACCAGCCTCTGATGCGTTGCGCGAGTACAGCGCAGCAGTGTTTGGTTGCACCATTCTTCCATGGGGCGCGGTGCCGTCAAGGCCGAGATGCGCTGTGATTGCAAACCAAAACTTAAAAAACCCGTCGAATTTGTGCGGTTTTTTTAGAAAGCCGTGAAATGCTTCGCATGCCTTCTATCGTTCTGCAATTTATTGATTTAGTGTTTTTCGATATTGGTGAGCGATTTTCTAATTAAAACTATGCGCTTAAACACAATATTAAAAAGTTAAATACAAAAAATAATTAACGGCACTTTCTGAATACTTTCATATTTCTTGGCCTCGTTCCGTCGTAATCTAGGGGACGAGTAAACTTTGCTGCAGTATATTTTTCATCGAAAACGTTGCGGGAAAGATACGGCTGTCAGCGCTCCTCTTTCGCACTTGTCAAATTTTCTCGCTTCGACGTCGCATCTGGTATTTCAGAGAGGACCATTGAAACGGCAGTGTTTAATGATCTCCACGCGTGCACAAAGGAATAAGAGACGAGGCAGAACCTTACACCGCCCAACGTGCGAAAGAAGCTGGAAATAACATTCAGCTTCTGTGTCCAAAACTCCCGTTGAATGTTGGGTTCCTGGTCGCCTGCAGGAAGGAGCAGCACCGCCGGAAGGGTAAACACCAGCAGAATGAGAACCAGCGACATGGGCTTCAGGTTCGGGTTTTTGTTTTTTGTTTTTTTCTGAAAAAAGATCGCGAATACGGACATGGTGAGGAACGGATTAATGAGTTGTTTCCTTATTTAAAATCGGTTTGTTAGGCCCTCCAGTACGCATCAAAATGTTTAATGTAATTGAGATGTTCGTCAAAGTTTTCTAAGGGTCCTCACATACCCTTTAAGAATACCTATAGCTGTAAAAGGTCACTGCTTATTGAGTGGCCTTTATCGTCTGTCCCAATCCTTTCCGTGAAACCCCTGCAATCTTCAGAATTGTTTTACGGGCCTATGGTAGAGACAACGAGGCCTTTAGGATTTATGCGCCATAGAATTCACTTGGCCATTTTAAAACGGTAGTTTTAAAAAGCAACTCCGCTTCATTTTTGTTTCTGAAAAAAAAAATGCAGTCCTTTTCAGTAACATCTAGGAAGATCACACGTCGAATATTACAACCTAGTTCTGCCTCAATGTTTTGTGAACGGTCGGTAACTTTTGCAGCGCGTCAAGTTGCCGAAAACAGCTTACTCAAGCGGGCGAATTGATTGAGGTACAATAAACAGCGGGACGTTTGCCTTGAGGGAGGCAAACGTCGTTAGGGACGTTTGCCTTCAGAGAGGTTCATAGGGTAAGAAAAGTAATGACAGCACGTCATCGCACACAATTTTCTACAATAGACGAATGTTGCTCAAAGAACTGTAGCTAGTTTTAAGCAGCGCTCACTGAGGCAGTTTGTATGCTGGGTTAAAACGTGAATTCTGATGTTCTTTTTTCTGTTCCTAGATGCAGTGTTACCTTTCTGTGGCTTTTTGGTGCCACAGTGTTTTGGTGAGCGTATCTTTCACCACGGGACACAGTGTATGGTGAGTATTTTTTTATTTACTGCCTGGCTAGTCAAATAATATGACTCGGCAGGAAAGTCTCTACAGTTTCAGGCTGTTTGAAGGTCTGTTCTCCTTCAAACATGTTGAAATGGCAGATTCCTTTGGGGTGCCTAACTACCCTGTTTAATGACCATCAGATAGCGTGGTAGAACCTACCTTCTTGTTGGACCAGCCATATGTCTATCTTTCGTCATGCGTTTACGCTCCCGCCCATAACCATGTGCAGAAGGCGGGGTTAGGGAATGAAGGAGAGGTGGTTGATTTGTCCGGTGGGTGCGTAGTTCCCACCGCAGTGTCAGCTTAGAGGTGAATGTGAATTACTCAAGCTTTAAATAAGTCACCTTACTCGAAGCATGAGGAACACCTAAGAATATTGTTTACTTCATTATTCGTTTCAAAAAGTTCAAATAAATAAAAATCATTTTTATTTTAAAAGGTGAATGACGACTCAAACAATTGCGAAACTCACACTTCATGTTTTTACGGCTCTTGGTCTGCGACAATTTTTTGTTTCTATTTCTGTACTTGTTTAGCATACTAACGAAGGTTGTACCACCTCAAGGAAACGACAGTAAAAAAAGAGCTATGAACTCAATAACCTAGTGCTAGCATGTTCTTGCCTCAAAAAAACGTTTTAATAGGGTTGCAATGGCATTTTTCGCGCATTTAATGTTTATGATATCAATAAGCATATTATCATTATCAGAACACCAAGTAGTCGCTTTTTACAAATCATTGTGGGACGCAGCCCGTGAAAATTCAATTGAAGTAGAAGCATTATATGGATCACGGTCTCAAATGCTTCTGATATGTCAAAATACATTACATCAACTTGTCATGAACAAACAGCACCGCCTAATCCAGAAACCTACAAAGATGTGTCCGAACAAACCATTTTTTTTAAGAAACAGCTGCTTTGGGCAAACCTGATGTTGAAAATAATTGCGAAGATATTTACGCAGTGCCATTGAGAATTAATAAAAAAAACACTTTAGAAAAGTTTGTAAGTAACTAAACCTGTGTGATAATTGCACACATTGCTTGACTTACCATGCTTAAAAATGGGAATGACAGAGCGGTTTCGAATATATGAAAATTTGCCAGACTAAAGGCTAAAGATTTCATACGAACACATTGGACGATATGTCCGCACCGCCTGCTAGAATAGAGCTAGTCTCTGTTTAAGCATAAGTCCAAACGCAGCCGTCTCCATGAGGTATTGGGTTAAATAAGGGTGTGGCATAGGCGTAAACCAATTGGCTTTTTCTGTTTATAATAGGTTAATCGATATACAACACGTGCAGAATCATGACAAACCATGTTGGTGCGCCTTTCATGCCGTCTGAGTGGTCCTATAGCTCCTAGCGTCCACTGCGCATGAACTTTATTTCGAAATATGTGTAAGAATTTCGTCAGCACCAACGTATAACCTTTGACTTCAAGGACTCTAACTCCCAAGTTTGAGTGGCACCTCTGGAGAACTAAATCGGATGTTCCTCGAGCGCGTTTCGGTTGCGCTTATTCGCGCTTTTTCAATTTCTCGCGTAAGCTAAGTTCACAAGAGCAGAAACGTTAAAAAAGGGTTTCTGAGAAAAGCAGAAACGTTTCTGACAAGAGCAGAAACATTTAAAAGAGTACGATTATTGTTTGATCGGAGAGCCCGACCAGCATGTTTATTTGCGTGTTTATAAACTTGTTAGTTCTTTCAGACACTCTTAGCACGCGTGAACAGATACTGAAACACGATTGTAAGCGACCGTGACTTGTGCATGATCGAACGCTCCAGTGGCGCTTTCTGCTCAAAGCAAACGTTACATGGGCTAGTCTTAAGGGCGGACTCTCGCCCCATGGACGAGAGAACCAGGCCTGTATTTCTAACGCACGTTTTTTTACGCGGTAAAATTTCGTTCGATTTGATCGTGGCAGTCACGAAGCTTTTCGTCAGTAAGGCTGGTACAGCCGGTGGTTGTCCCGAGGAACACAACCTGCCCATCAAATCACTGTCGTGTGCAGGGTGCAAGATAGACAGGTGGAGAAACGGCCCATAGAATCCTACCGCAGCGCCGTTACCGGATTGTGTACTCGTCTGCTTGCGGGTACCCCCGATTTGCAACAGATGGCGCTGCGGCGAGAGGAAAAAAAGTCGGAATTGGATTTGCGTGGAACTCTATGGGAGAGTGCGCAAAATAGACCGAGAGCACGACAGTCCTCCATTAAAAAGCCACGAGAAACCATCTCCGTCAGTTTAGCCGGTCGCCACCGGTCGCCCACCCGGAGTGAGAGTTCGCCGTGCTCCACATAGATGGCGCCACAGAAAAAGAGAAAACCGAGGGGGACACAATCCGGTCGCTCATTTGGCTCTCGTTTCCCCACCTATCTTACACCCTGACCGCGTGATTGATGCACACACAGTAACCCCTTGTCACTCTTCAATATTCTGAAATCTTCGTAGGTCGTCCATTTTTGTTTTTCAGAACAGAATAGCCAGCTTAGACAGATTACCGTCGTCTTGATAAGATTCTCGCTCTCGGCAATTGCTTTGGGCTCTTCTGAAAAAATGAAAACGGAAATTCTAGTCATCTCGTTGCCCAAGTCGCCCAGACGCTTCGTGCTGGAACAGTACTTATAGCTGCTCAGTTCGTCGCCCATAAGTAGCTTGTCGTCTTTCCTGACTACATCGATGCATTTTCAGCGAAATCGACGCGACGCTCACACGTACCAGAGGAAAGGACAACATCCCCTACCGTAAATTGCGGCGAAGCAGCTGCCGGATGCATCCTTGCTCGTTATCGTCACTCGGATAAGCAACTAATGAAAAATATGCTCATTTCCGCTCGCCGAATTGGCTCGCTTTTGTCTTTTGTACAAATTGCAGGTATGGGTAATATAAATGATTTCTGTGTATTAGAGGTTCTTTAAACTGTAGGTCGTTGCCAATTTTTTTTTATTTTTTTATTCTTTAGTGCCGTTATGCTCAGCACACGTCTGGGGTGAGCGCACGGAGATAGAGCGCACTTGATCGCCTGCTACTGGACAGGTTTTGTTTCGGCCTTCATGACGTCTTAGATTTATGCCGATAATACGGATTCATTCGTTCACGTTTTTCGTCGAGAATTATTTTGATATTTTCACTGAATCACTACGACAAAAAGGTTTTTAGTAAGATATTTCTTTCTCTGTGAGCCTTCGTAGACTCGTGAATTTCTCTTTTATACAATATTCGCCATCAACCAACTGTAATCAGTCATAAACTCATAAACCTATCACCCGGACTTTCTCGCGTTGATATCAGTCATAAAAACGACGTCTCCTCGATGTTCTTTTATATACCAATCCTGGAATGATTGGTATAGGTCTCCTGCTTAGATAGCCCATATCACCATATAACCTTTTATAGTTTCACTACTTCTTCAACGTAATATCTTGAGGGTATGTTTTAATAACAGTAGTAATCAACTGTTTATCTCACAATTCGAAAGTTCTCAATTTGTTTACCGTTGTAGCAGATGCAACAATGACGCCACCTTGAAGGGTTGTTTCCGTGGACCAAGACTATACGAAAAGCTTAGGGGTAGTTTCCCTGGATTCGGTGATTTTAGTTCAATCTAGTGTAACTAAGTGATCTACGTTTAGAGCCTTGCCACTCCATTCTCGTTTATCTTGTGAGAGTCGTCATTAGGTGTTCAGCGCAGTGCAGGGCTCATGCGATTTCCTGAGATTGAAACGCTGCGTGAGGAAGCTCAGGCGCTACCGTTTTTATCTGTCGCGGGCCAATCTAGTATTTCTGATGGGCGGAACAGTGTCTCCGGCGATTTTTGATAAAACTTTGGACGATTTGCATCAATTAATTTAGGCACTAAACGGCGAAAGTGTTGCTCTTTTGGTGTATAGCTTATTACTGGCTGCAGTCTACGCTTTACCTACACTGCAGAAAATCAGGAGTGGTGGCTACCCTTAGGGCACAAATAAATAAAAAAAAAAAAACGTTTTAGAGACTTTTTTGCAGAGCGAGCTGCAACTTACATTTCGTGAGAATAGCGATGAGGCCGACGAGGAGCTGCTGGATGACTGCCACTTTTCTGAACGGAAACGAGCTCTGAAAAGACCCCCGATACCCTAATCCAAATATAGACAAAG